GCAAAGGAAACTAAGGAAGCTTTGCCTTCAGAATTTACTTGTGTAACCAGAGTGAATCCCCTTGTCAGTTTCACACAGGCAGCCAAAAGGTACAGGCTGGAACTAAGATTTCAGCTTTCTGGAGGCGAAGAGTTTCCCTGTTGTGATGTACCACCAGTGGTGTGCTATTCTGATCATATTTTCCAAGGAAAGTGACTATCAGGACTTTATTGCCCTCCTCTCCCATCTAAATCATATCAATTTGCTTGCTTTTTTAAAAGTTTCTTCTTTCATCTCTCAGGAATTGAGCCTACAATTTAATTTAAGGGAGAGGGTGTGCGGAAACTCAGACTATGCCTTCCACTCAATAGCAGTTCAAATCCGCTTACGTTTTTTTCCTTCCTCCCATTATCATATGTGGAGAGAGCTATATGGTGCTACTTGCAGGACAGTGGAAATGCCCAGTAATACTATCCTAGATTATTTTGTCAGAATGGGAACCTGAGATTACAGTACTGAAAATTACAGATAACTCATTCTCAGATAAGGATGGGAGAAGAGCTAATTTTTTAAATTGGATTTAAACCCTGCCCTCCCCATATAAAAATAAATAAATAAATAAATAATGTAGTCTATGGACATGACTCCCACCCCCTCGTCACACAGACAACACCAGTGAGTTATCACCTTCTAGCCGCTCTGAAGGACACACTGCCAGTGTTTTCACCTCTCAGAATTCTACTGATGGTCATAACACTTCCCAGTTCAACTTCCTTCAAGGGGTAGAAGAGTTCTTTTGGAATATTTTGAAGTTCTTTTGGAACCATGGCACTTCGGGCTGGGGCCCAGTCATGCTGCGGAGTGATGACTGAAGCATGAGAATGACTTTAGTCTGCCAGCTGTGCCTGAGGGCTTGGGCAGACCTACTGAGATTTTTGGTACTTTTTTTTCGTTGAACACCAGACTCCCGTGCTGTAATGTAACCTGTGTTTGAAAATATCCTCCACTTAAAAAGTGATTTGCAATTGAAATACAAAGCCAGGGTCTTTCTGTGCCTGCAGAACCAGTTGCCTGGTTCTTTGGGATTTAGCGATTACAGTGTAAATAAATCAATGATGCATAAATGATCACTAGAGCTAAGAGGAAAATAATTTGGAACCAACACTCTCATAACACATCTGAAAACATGTTACTTTCGCTTGTTACCAGATAAATAATTGTACATAATGTGAAAGTCTAAAGCAATACATACAAAGCAATACATAAAATCTAAAGCAATGTATACATACATTAGGTAAAGTAAAGGATTCCCTTGCTCGAAAGCCAGTCGAGTCCGACTCTAGGGTTGCGGTGCTCATCTCCGTTTCCAAGCCGAAGAGCCAGCGCTGTCTGAAGACGTTTCCGTGGTCATGTGGCCGGCATGACTAAACACCACGGCGCACGGAACGCTGTTACCTTCCCACCGAAATGGTACCTATTTATCTACTTGCAATGTCTTGCTTTCGAACTGCTAGGTTGGCAGGAGCTGGAACTAGAGACGGGAGCTCACTCCGTCATGCAGCAACTCAGGTCTCGAACTGCTGACCTTCGACAGCCTGCAGTTCAGCGTCTTAACCACTTGAGCCACCGCATGTATTTCTTATTTTTTTAAAAAAACATAACTTCCCTTATATCAAATAATGGGAGGCTTGGATCCAGTGGAGTGTTTACATGTACAGAAGGATTTCTACCTGAAAAGTGTGACTTTCTTGCCCCTGACTGCAGGCAAAAATGCCTCCCAAGATGTTCCCAATTTGCCATGCAGTGGGGAGGCAGCAAGAAAGTTGTGCTCCAAGGGCAAAAATCCTTCCACCAAGTTAATATTCCATTGGATCCAAGTCCTTACCTTTAACACTCAACACTGCTTTTATTATGCTCCAATACACAGCTACCATTCTTAATCAGCTTTATTTTACCATCTCTAAATGTAAGTACATTGAAAGGTAGCCAATTAGTTTATGCTTTTTGGTGTTATGGAAGGTGGAAGGTGTTGCCAGGTGCAACTTCATATTTTATGAGGTAAGCAAATGTAGTTGGAAATGCCTACTTTATTAATTAATGTTCATTTGGAACATTTATACGCATTTCTCTGGAAAAATTGACACTTTCTATGGAAAATGTGTCTAGGGAGGAAGAAATAAAAGATTTTAAAGCTGTTCTTCTTTAGCATTTGTAGCAGGCATAACTTGAGGGTTTATTCACACACTGCGTTAAAGATGTATAAGCATGCACTAGTAAGAAAACCATGGAGGGCAGTGAACAGCTGAAACAAATTGGCCATTGTAGATTTGCAAAGTGGTTAGGTATTTGTGCACTTGAACAAATATATGAATTCATATTTTCAGAATTCATATAACGAGGAGCAACTTAACTGAAGGCTTTAGAAAGTCCTTACAGGCAGTTCAGTGGTATTAATGTTACTGCCCTCACTAACTCCCCTTGAAGCCAGCTGACTTCTCTAGGGATCTATCAAATAGTCATGGCTAAGTCATGGTCTACACTGCCACAATTCTGTACTGTGCACACCTGGCTACATCAGATTAGCTGGCTACAAAGATGACCTTGCTGGTCATGCCACCTATTTCTTTTACACACCAAGCTTTGTAGCTTTTCCTCCACAGGTTCTTCAATACTTGCTAGGCCTTGAACTACACTGCTTGCTTATAGCCTACCTCTCCAGGTCCAAGGAGCCATTTCTGAGCATCTACCTGGTATTTGTACTTACACAGATTAAGACAGGAAAAACCAGGGGTCTTGTTGTAGAAAAAGAGCTGCCGGAGCTCATTAGCATAACTCATTAGCATAACTTATTTGCATATGCCACGCCCCCTGACATCACCGGAAGTGACAGAAGGCCACACCCCCTGACATCACCGGAAGTGTGTCAGAAGGCCCGGCTACTTACCCTCCTGCTTCATCCTCATTCCCAAACGGAATGAGGATCGAAGCAGAGGGCGGGGTAAAGAAGGGGCGGGGCTTCACCACGTGACCGCCCCGCCCCCTAGAGGTTCTCCTCCGGAGCTCCGTACCTGAGAGCTCCCCCCCGACTAGAGCCCTGGGAAAAACTATACACTCTCGTGAGGGTACAGTATATGAAAAGCCTCCCTAAACCTGATCAGCATGCACCCCTTAATAATGATAACAGATATTTCCTTTGAGTATGTCCTTTCAATACATGGAGATAATCTTCACTGGATTACACAGTACTAAGTATTGGCAGCTCTTGTACAGCCATTTGGCAAAGGTAAGCAAAGACTGATAGTCTATCAAACAAAGAAAACTGGGTATAAACAAGAAAAGCACAAGTTAGGAATCTAACCACATGGTTGTATCCAGACCACTGTTTTCTGTGGACACAGAATTCTACAATGGATCATTATTTTCCTACTTTCTCCCTTCCACAGCAGTCCATAATGCCTCTTCAAAAGTACTCGCACCCATGGAAATGTTTTTCTGGTTCCAAACCATGGTAATCCAAAACAAAGCAATTCTTAGGTTCAACTGATCAAACTTGATAAGCAAAGCAAGTAAGTGACTATGCTAGTTGAAGGAAAAGTCACTGATGCTCATGTTGTCAGAGATAGATATTGCAATATCCCTGAAGTCCCATCTCCTCACTGACAGCTCCACACAACAGAGAACTGTGCTCTCTGGACATCTCTTTCTGCCTAACAGTGGGCATAAATATATGACAGTCCCATGGCTTTGTATATCATTTATTCTGAGCAACAAAAAGAGTTCATTGGCACAGATCCTTTTCAGGTGGGTAAGTTTTATCATTGAGAAGTTTTTTGTAGAAGTTTAATTTTTGCTTACTGCATTCTTCACCCTATGTTTTAGCTTAAACATCTTAAATACCTGAGCAAAAGCAAAATTATAAAATTCTGGCTCTTTGCTTGACTTCCTATCTAAGGTTTAATGTTAACTTGATCTTGGCACATAGTTAGCCTCTCTAGATGTCCTTTCTAATCAGTAACTCAAAATTTAAACTGAAACCACTAATCTGATAGTATTTGAAATGCAAGCAAACCATTTTAAGTAATTGCAATTACTTTTCCTCAAACTTTGCTTCCCGTGTCTATTTCACAGACCATAAAATCCATCAAAATAGTTTTCCTGCTCCTTTAAGCGTACTGTAAAATTACCAGCTATAAGGTTTGGTTTGGTTTTGTTCTACCCCACTTCTACAAATTGGAGACTGTCATAGCTCAAAAGCACAGTTAAGCGCACATCTATAAAGAATGTTATTGTAAAGTGCTGTGTTTTGTGCTGCCGTAAAGTCCTTAAACTCAGCAAGAGCTCTGTTCACTGAGCTGACCAGCAGTTAAACTCACCTTACAAACTCAGTAACCAAAAACAAAGTAAAGGTAAAAAGCTCCAATGAGGATGATGACAAACAAAGTCAGTTTAGGCTATGAGGTCTTTCTATCCTTCCTCAAAATTCCATAGAGAGGGCGATTTGCGAAAGAAACTATAAATATAATTTGTTGGTGGGGGGAAGAGGAGACTGAAAAAAAATTCACAGCAATGGAAAAGGAAGCAAAAAATTTTAATTTTTTTTTCTGATGATGGAAAAGACTGCAAAGCATTCTTCATGGGAGGACAAAGCCACATTCCCCTGTCAGCCTTACACCTGGTGTCAGAATCAAGAGGAGAGGAAGTTCCTGAATATCTTCCTCCTCCTCCTCTCCCTTCCAAAGCCTATAGAGAGTGTCAGCCAGCTGCTCCTCCCAGGCCCCTCTGAAGGCAGTGCAGCAAGACACTTATGCCCAATGACCACTTCTGACCTCTTGCAAGAGCTTCTCCCTCTCCTTCAAAGTGGAGCTCCATGGTGGTGGTGAGCTTTCACCCTCGAGTGAAACCAGGGATTTCTTCATTCCCATCTCCATGCACATATATTAAAAGCTATCTGTCTCTAATTCCCTAAAGCCAGCAATTCCATTTGACAAACACTACAGCAAACAACATAAGATGCCTCTTACCTTGTAGCCACCAATGCGATGCTCTTGCTTAAACTCTTTTCCATTTTTTAGCCACCTCATGGTTGGTGGTGGGTTTCCTGTAGCTGGACAACGGAATTTTACGGTATTCGCTGCTGGGACTGCATGTAATCGCTTCTCCATCTTATCTGTTTGTGTCCACTTTGGTGCCCCTGTTTCCAAAAATGAACACAGAGCAACAAAGTCATCAATAAACTGTAATAAACTCAGAGTCCAACAAACCCATCACTTGGCATTTACATGAACTGTTTATGAACCAACATGTTTTAGGAGCACTGGCGTGCTACACTATTGATTTATGTTGCCTTTGGCACATCATATAAGACAGAGAACCTTCAAAATATCAGTATGTACTGTGAAACAAAAACCTAGCCTGCTTCAACTGGAATTACTGCTTGTGATTCATGTCTTAAGGCAATTAAGGAAATGTTAATTCATGCAAGAAGGTATTTTCTTTTAATTGCTATCTTGCTCTAGCCCTTAGGCTTGGGATGAGTAAATGTTCACTTAAAACACAAAACTTTCACTAAAAATTTGAGAAAATGAAGAGAATATTTGAAACTTATCCCTGCTACCCTTATGTACATGGCTACTAATGCCGATCAGTTTTCATCTTAGACTGTAAGGTGACTGAAACTTTGGACAAGGTGGAATAGAAAAAAATTAGCAAATAAAAATCCAATCCAGACCGTAAAAGAGAGTTGTTTGGAGTCAGAATTACTGCAAGTGATTTGTACATTCATCAGCTAAGAAAACATTGGGCTGGATTTCCATTAATGGGAGAGGAGACAATTTTCAGTGAGTACTCCCTCCCAATGCATACCCCCCCCAATTTGCCCCCATGCTGTTACTTAAGGACCCCTGTCTTCCGGAAGCATTTGGGGGTGCAGCAGAAAGGGGAAGGCAAGAAAGTTCCATTCCACTGACAGAAACCCTTTCCATCACTAGAAATTTCCTCTGGATCCAACATACTGACTTTATATGTACACACTGACAATTGGAGAGCTCATTACAAATAGTTACAGTATTTTCCTTTTGCTCTGTAATGGAGAAAAATGATTATCTTCCAACAGAGGGAGTCTTCTATATATATTATATATATATTCCACACTGCCACTATAGCTTTCAAAAAATGCAGAATGGCAACCACAGTTCTTCCAAAGGTGCCATACCATGAAGAAGTTTTCTAATGGTGCTGCTGAGCACAGTTGCTTAAATTTTCTTTCATAGGGGTACCTGTACTTTTTCCAGCCCACCTGAACTCAGCATTTAAGATCGCATCACAGTCTCTTCTGTGCTTATCTCCTACTTCTCTGCGGCTTTTAAAAGCCGCACCAAAAAAGAGACGCCGCGGCGGGATCCCACGATCCCCTGAGCTGCAGCGCCGTTGCTCCCCGGCACGATCAGATGCCAGGGAGAAAGAGACTATCGGGAGGGGAGGCTGCCGAACTGCGCATGCTCAAGCATGCGCGGTACGCCGGGGGGCGGGGATGCGCCAGCGAAAAGACGCGCCAGCGATCCCACGGCCAGCAGTGATGCAGCCTTTCGCAAAGAACCACCTAGGTAGGTGGTTCTTTTTTGATGCGGGTTTTGGCCAGGAGGGGCGGATTGGGGACGGGCTGGGAACGGGTGCAGCACGATTCCCAGATGTTGCTGTAGGATCGCGCCCGTTTGCTCCGGCCCCGATCCGTCCCTCTCCCGGCCCAAAACCCTCGTGTGGACAGGGCCTTATATGACTTTTGGATGGAAGCATAGCAAACAAACAGTTCCCACCATGTGCCCGTTAAAACACCTTGACACAATTCTGGGAAAACCAGTGGGTTACCCTGAGACACAACTCTGGAACCTTTCCGAGCTTACAGCTTTCTTTCCACATTTCTTTCTAGACAGCTTGCACCCGTACATTAAATGGATTGTGGGTGGGGAAACAAGAAAAGCAACTATTGATAATAAGCAATAGGATAGAGAAGATAACTGTGAAGGAGTAGGAGAAACAGGAACAATTGGTGAATACTTTTGCTTCCGTTTAAATACAGGGTTCCCCCCCACATACACACAGGAATGGACTTATTTCCCTGTCCTTACACAATATTTTTCAATAATTCAGATAAATAATAGTTTATCTACTGTAATAAAAGACAAATAAAGTAATAAAGGAGGCCTTATTTTGACCAGGAAGTGGATAATCCCAGTCAGTACTTCTTCCTATTCTGTCCTGACACAAAGTCTATGAAGAAGTTATGTTTAAATCTCGTAAATATGGTAAATTACAACAAAGATGTGGCAACCGTGGTCAAAAGACCTGTCAGCCAAGTACTGCAACTGGCATTAGATGGAAGGGGGCAAAGACATGATTAAATGGCACTGCATGAAGTTGCAGCATCAATTCCAGTTGTATCACTGGAAGTGACATCACTGGGTCATGTGATGCTCTAGAACTTCCCCGAAACTACGGTAAAAGCAATAGAGATAGGAAAACTTCCGGAGGATCGTGCAACACAGCAATTGTATCACTTCCCATTTCTTTTTTTTGGCCCCCCGAAGGGGATTTTTTTTATTGCATCTTATATAAGACTACAAACTACAATGAAAATAGGGGAGGGGAACTACATTTAAGGAGAAAGAAAAGATAACCACTACTAACTAAAAACCCAAGAGAGGAGATCATCAAGTTAGCTTGTACACAATGCCATCCCTTAAAATGCTAACAATTTTATGAACTTAGTCAGACATGCTAATATAACTTTTAAATCTTAAATTTAGCTGTTGGAAAAAGAACCCTAAGCATCTCAATATTAACAACAGTATTTCAAAGGCACAATTCAGAGTCCTTCAGCCTTCATTTTTTCTTATCCTGTCTTTTCCGCAGTTTATAAGGACTTTTAGGAGCCACTGCCCCTTTCTCAGGCAGAGAGTCCTCTCCAGAAGACCCCGAGTCCAGATCACCACTGGACTTACTGTTTTCCTCTTTATCCACCTCCTCTGGCTCACCCAACTGGATTCTCAGAAAGTCCCGTGCTTTGGAAACAGAGTCAATCTTTTCTTTTTTGTCCTGAAGTTTGAAGGTTATGCCCTCTGGATATAACCACCGATAGCTAATTGCATTTGTTTGAAGAAAAAGAATTAAATTGTTATATTTCTTTCTCCTTTGTCTTATTTCAAATGGGATATCTTTCAGGATCCTGATAGTACTGTCCCCAATTTTCAAGGGTGTCCCCGCCGTCGCTCTCAGGATACAATCCCTCACGTGCCTCTTCGAGAATCTCATTACTATTTCCCCAGGCAGATTCTTCTTCTTTATGTATACGGAATAGGACCTGTAGGCCACATCCATTTCGCTCGTAAGATAGTCCGCCTTCAAATCTGTCACTGGGGCCAATGCTTCGCTCATCATTTGCTTCAGATTCTCACCCTTAGTCTCTGGAACACCTTGGAAACGAAGGACCAGGTTTGCCTTCTCCATTTGTAACTGTAAAAGCTGTTCTTCTGTTGAAATTTGCTTCTTTTCCAATTTTTGTACCTTTTTCTTCACCTTTTGAGCAATGGCGTCAACTTCTTTCACTTTCTCAGCTGTTTGTTCCGTAATCTTAAGAGTCTCGTTCAATTGTGTCTGCTGAGTAGTGATACATTGGTTCATTGTTGACAGCTGTTCCTTGAGATTAGTCATCTGATCCAGCAGGGGGCACAGGGACTCTGCCAACGTTTTGGCCAAATCGGTGGATCGTTCCGGTTGACGACTCTCACCTGC